AGCAGCACCTCCCGCACCACCTCGTAGCCGAAGGCCACCACCACCAGCTCCGAGCCGAAGCGCAGGGCGAAGACGGGGCCGTACTTCTCGCTCAGCTGCGGGGCGAAGCGACACCCATCCGCTGTGGGTGGGGGCACCCCAGGGCGCTCGGCATCGGCAACCCGGGGGGCTCGGCATCGGCACCCTGCAGGGTTTGGCACTGGCACCCCAGGGATCTCGGCACTGGCACCCTGGGGTGCTCGGTATCGGCACCCCAGAGTCTCAGCGTCAGCACCCTGGGGGTCTCGGCACCGGCACCCCAGATTCTCAGGATCGGCACCCCAGGGTGCTTGGCATGGGCACCCCAGGGGTCTCGGCATTGGCACCTTGGGGATCTCAGCATGGGCACCCCGGGGGTCTTGGCATCAGCACCCTGGAGGGTTTGGCATTGGCACCCTGGGGATCTTGGCATTGGCACCTTGGGCATCTCGGCATGGGCACCCCGGGGGTCTCGGCATCAACACCCTGGGGTGCTCAGTATTGGCACCCTGGGGATCTCAGCATTGGCACCCCAGGGTGCTTGGCACTGGCACCCTGGGGATCTCGGCATTGGTGCTTTGGGGATCTCAGCATGGGCGCCCCAGGGATCTTGGCATCGGCACCCCGGGGGTCTCGGCATTGGCACCTTGAGGATCTCGGCATCGGCACCCCAGGGGTCTTGGCACTGGCAGCCCAGGGAGCTTGGTATCAGCACCCCGGGGGTCTCGGCATCGGCACCCTGGGGGTCTCGGCGTTGGTACCCCAGGGTGCTTGGCACTGGCACTCTGGGGCGCTCGGCATCGGCACCCCGGGGATCTCGGTATTGGCGCTTTGGGGATCTCAGCATGGGCGCCCCAGGGGTCTGCCATCGGCACCCCAGGGGTCTCGGCACTGGCACACCGGGGGTCTCGGCATCGGCACCCCGGGGGTCTCGGCCCCCCGCTCACCTTGCGGAAGGTCTTGCAGGTGTCGGTCGCCCTGAGCTGCAGCAGGTTGCCGATGAGCGGCAGCGCCAGCGGCCCCGGCGGGTAATTTCGGCTCCGCTCTTCTTTTTTCCGCCAGGCCGCGAGGGCCGCGGTCGCCAGGACGAGGAGGAGGAGGAGGATGGTGACGGTGCCCACCGCCTCCATGGCTGCTGGCGCCCGCCTCGGCGGCGAGGAGCAAAGTCTGCCGGCACCGGGGAGGTCGCGGCGGCGCAGCCGGGGCTACCGGATGGTCGACGACCTCGGGGATGTTTCTGGAAAAGTGACCTGCTCGCGGCATGCATCAACACGGACCCTGCCTGCCCGGCGCCTGCTGCGTGCCCCCGGCACCCTGAGCTGTCCCTTCGCCTGCTGCAACCCCGTCCCCTCCTTGCAACCCTGTCCCCTCGCTGCAAACCCCGTCCCCTCCTTGCAACCCCCGCCCCCCGCTGCAAACCCCGTCCCCTCCCTGCAACCGCGCCCCCCCC